AATTATAATTTTGACAAATTCCTTAGTACACTCACTCAAAATAGTCTTATTTTTCTCTAATATTAGCTGACTGATTCCAGGGACTCTATTTCTATTAATTTATTTACTTATTGTTTTTAAAAGTTTAAGTTCTGTGGTGTCATTTTTGCCTCTACAAAAGCATTAAAATGTGGTGGTCGTATACACAATCTAATAAATCAGGGTTTCATGATATTGCTCACTTTCCCCCTTGTTAGTTTTTTGAAAGTAAAGTATAAAGCCAGGTCTGCTGACATCTTCTTTTAAAATCCAAAGACAAAAGAAATAAAAATAAATAAAACAAATAGTTCACTCTTTTAGCTCCTTAAGGTAATAATAAACTTTGTATTAATTGATATACTTGTGAATTTCTTTTACTATCTAGGACAATGGGTATCTTTTTCATTCATAAAATTCTTAGTTAAAAAAAGGTCAAATTACTTTTGCCTTATTTTCAGTATATTTAAGAAAAGAAAAAAAGCATGATCGTGTTCCAGGTAGGATGGGACCAATTATGCCTCAATTGCTTCTTAGACACATGAGAATTCTTGGAAACAGGGGAATGGAGCACATGACCAGCAGTACTTATGTTTTCAAAACAGCAATGGAATGAGTCCCCTACTTTACATAACGATGTATTAAATTATTTTTATATAGAGGGACAAATTCTCATGGTACTCATTTTCTGTGTGGACCCTATGGGAGATTAGAGAGTCTGATGCATGCCTACAGCACACTTCAGTGTATGTACTGGTGGCCTCATGGGTTCAGAAGTTTCCCCAGAGCTTGGAGCTGTTGATGAATTCAAACCACCGTCAGGGTCCCTCTCTAGTCTTTTCTTGGGAGAGTTGCATCATGTTGTCATTTCCATAAATATTGCTGCACAAATATCATGGTCCATGACACTTATTGAGGAGTGGGCCAAAGCCAGCAGTGGCACTTTCATTTCCTCCCACATCTAGAATTGTACCTGGCTGGAGCACCTGTGTGCACTCAGGAGGAGAGGGCATTGCACATTCCCACCGTGGTCTTCTGGCTAAATCTGCACCTTCCAACTTTTGACCTTTAATGGTTCCTTGTAGCTTACAAGTAAAAATGGTGAGTAGATTTCTAGATTTAGAAGCTCAAAGCAGAAGTCTGCACTTTCCTGTTGGCTTGTTAAATATAAAAAGCCATGTGGAGTCCCCCAAAGGGAACAAAAAAAAGAAAATGAGGAAATTTCTCCTCGATCTTGGAAAGTTTATGGATGATGACAGACATACTAAGACAGAAATCTACACACAAACACATACATCGTGACTCATACTATTTGCTTTTAACACAGCAATGAATTTTTCAGTGCAAAATGATGTTTAAAAGATGAAATATAAAAGTACTCAGGAGACAAAATATGAAGAGACACAAACTAGAAGGGTTTTGATGTTGAGACTGGCATTTGTCAAGAGAGACTGAGACTTATGCAGATGTAAGAAAATGCAATCAGAAATGTGAATTTCATATTGAAAAAAATAGCATTGAAAAGGGTACTATCAATCTCATGGGGGGAGATGGGAAAATGTTAGCTGATGACAGGGGTGATCTTGGCCTGCTCCCTGGTCTGAAAACATTGATCCCATTTCATATCATCTGTAATTGTTGCCACACTTTTTGTGAGTTTAAAACTCTAATCTTCAAGATTAAAGATGCTTTTCAAATAAACTAAAGTCTTTAACTACATGACTGCTCACCCTCTAGAAACTGAAAAAAGTTCATTTTGCTGACTTTTAGTTTGAGTGTGGGCATTTCTGAGGTAGCAGGTGCATTTGGGGTCAATAGTGTTCATATTGTTTGACCGGCAGCTGCAGGGAAACATATATTTTACCCTGTGACACACTGTCAGCACACTCACTCCCAGTCACACACGTTGAACAGACGTTTTACAAAGCAATAGTTCCCTTCGTGCAGGTGAGATGCTCTGCCTTCTTCAATTCCAGGCAAACTCACGCCTGAAAAACCACGAGTTGTCAGGCACCGGTTTCATTTCATTGCATGACCTTTCCATGTGTTACTACACACGTGTGTGCAGAGAGCTCAGGTCTCTCCAGTTTGGTACTTGATGATACCTTTCAGCTTTTCTAGCTTTGAGCAATGAAAAGTAAATGCTTCCATAAGGTAGGAAAGACTTGCACTGCCACATTTAGCAATTAGTTATTCATTATTTGAGATGCTACACTGAGTCCATGTGTAGAAGACAGAAGGACGAATATTGCCCTATCTCTCCTCTCACCAGGAAACTGATAATTAATCCACATGTCAGACCATAAAATTTGCTATGTGAAAGAACAGGTGAGCAATTAGGTTAAATATGAAGATATTTACAGCAGCTGTAGAAGGTACTTATAAAGTGTAAACAGCAAGAGGAAAGGTGGGGAGGGTAGGAGGCTGTTAATACTGGACCAGTATTAAAAATAGAACCATAAAAATAGAAAAAATAGAACCATTCAGAAAGTGAAGGCCCTCTGTGTTCCAGGTGAGAGATCTGTTTCTTCCATGGAAAGAGGCATGTGTTAGCAGCAGGGCTGATGGCAAGACAAGTGCTCCTGTCTTGTTCCAAGGGGAGGAAAGAGCAGTATCTTGGTTAAGAGCTGGAAAGATATGAGGTATTAACAAGACCATTCTCTTTCAATTGTTGCAAATCTTCCTGTAAAGAAGCCATTCTTCCTTCTACGTCAAAGTTCAGAAAACCAGTTCAGAAGGAGGTGGGAGCTCAAGTTATCATGAAAACTAAACTCATGCCCTTTCACTGAGTTTGGCTTATTTTCAGCTCCTCATTTTCACTTTTCTCTTATTTCATAGGGTTCACAATTTTAAGACAATGAAATGGTGCAGTTGTTTGTTGTGAAACACTGACTTTATTAAGGTGATTAAAAATTTATTTCAGTCTGTTTTCCTTCCTAACTCTCTGAACTTCTTTCTACTTTTATTCCTTTTCCAGTCTGTAGTTAAAAAAGAAAAATTTTAAGAGGGATGGGTCAATTATCTCTGTAAAAGAGGAATGAGAAAGTTAAAAGCATATATTAATAGACTAAAAAAATCATAGGGAAATTTTCTACATAATATACTATACATACATGCATATGCATTTTTAAAATTTCACAATAATTCAATTATTAATTATTTAATAAATAAAGGATCATGTAAAATTGAAAATCTACCTTAAACCCATCTCAATCTCTAGAAGTGTCTTTTTTTTAACAATTCAAGGTATGCTTCCAGATATTGTTTCAATTTTAATATAAATATACATATGTAGAGAGAGGTTGTGACCAGAAAAAATGGGATTGCACTACATATAATCTCACTAAACATTATATTTTGCTTTCCACTTGTTTGAAATTATTAAGATTTTTGAGAAAAACATCAGAGAAGTCGTATACATATACTTATTTCAATTTAGTAGTGTTTTTTTCTAGTTCTTAAAGTTGCTATTTATTAAATTATTTCAAAAACTTCAAACATCTATATTGTTCCTGAGTATTATCCAGTTCAGTCAACGCTATATGAAGATTCTTGAGGAGGTGTAATCACATGTTGCAGCTTAATAAGTGAAGGACACATCCCTAGATGCAGACTTAGTGGGTCATAAAAAACACGATTTTAAATGTTACGGAAGACAAATGTTTCTTTTGTTAAAATAATATGTACAATGTTAAAATATATGCGCAATTTAATTAACGATGTTTTTTAAGATCCCACCAAAGATACTATGCCAATTTAAATTCTTATCAAGAGTCAATGGGCTTATTTTCCTACACTTTTCCCAACTCTGTATATACTATATTTTTAAATACTTACCTATCTAGAAAGAAAATACTTTTATATTTATATTCTAAATTTATATCCTTAATCATCAGTGGGAATAATTTAATGCTTTTAAGTCATGTTTTTGTAAATCTTTTGTCTGTGGACTGCTTCTTCAAATCATTGTCTATTTCTTGTTACATGTTTTCTTGCCAATTTCTTGAAAAAATTATTAAACATGGTAGCTTTTCAATTGTCATGTTGAATTTCTCTAGTATAATCATTATTCTTTAGACTTTGTTAATTGTATTTCTTACAGTGTAGTCTTTTTAAGAAATATAAAAGTTTATCTATATTTTGCTTCAGAGCTTTTGAGAATTGCAAGTTGCCTAGCGAGATCTACCCAAATCCAAGGTAACCAGGAAAAAAAAGAAAGAGAACAACTATTATGCTTTCATATAGTAGTTGCATTTTTTTAAATGTTTAAATGTTTGAATTGTGACTAGTTTGGGTGAATGGAGTTAATCTGTGATTCACATTCCCCACACCTCAAATGCCTGGTCAATGATGATGTTTCAATTATTATATTATCAAAGTATCTTTAGATATATAGTAAGGATAGTTTCTCCTCATTATAATTGGGTTTTTTTCCCCAGAATTTCCCTGACTACTCTCATAGGCTTATTTTCTCATTCCCTGTTTGTATGACACATCAGCTTGATGTAACATACATATAAACTTTCATATTTACTGTCTTTCATATTAAGAAAAAATCTCAAAACATGTCTGTAAAACAAATGAGGTAGTTTGATTAGTACCATTTTAGAAGAGAAAACTATGAAAACGTAAATGAGCTTTCCAAGATCTCATAATTGTAGCTGTTGGCTAAGGGATTGTAACAAGGGACATGGGGGCTCTCTATCAGTCTGTAAGACTAGTGGTTTATGTCCTCAGACATGCTTTGCTTTGAATGTCATGCATTCTTGGAATTGCAATTTGAAAGAAGTTTCTGCATATATATGTAAATTGTAGCATTAAACTTTTATTATCTGTGGCAAAGATTTGTGATTGTTTTTTCCTTAAGCAGTATATAGTACTTAGAAGGAAAAAAACCTTTTTTTTCAATACCAGACCCAAGTGAGAAAAAGAGAGAGGGAGATTCTCTTCATGTGTATGTTGCTTTAGTCATATTCTACTGCCTCATGCATCATCTCTTTACTCAGGTACTTTACCTCAAGAATGATGATCAGATGAATGAAGTGTGTCTTGGGGGCATTCTCCATATAACGAGTATTTCCTAAATACTATTACTTGATGATTCCGGGGTTCTCTTTTGGGCTTTGAGGCTTTAGCAGGAGCGTAGGAACTTGTGTCTTGAGAAGAATCAGTGGGTGGGTCACAGCAGGATTTGTCTTTCCTGTCATTGGAATTAGAGGCAGTACCAGCAGTGAAGGGTAAAGACTCTAACCCTCCTTCCTGGGTTCAGAATCAGTTCTGCCCCTTTCTATAATTTTCTCAGCTCAACACATATCTGCCTCAATTTCCTTTTCTGTAAGCCAGAGATAATAGGAGTGTCAACTTCTTATCACTGTGGTTGAGGTTAAATGAATAAATAAATGTAAACAGCATAGAACACCTAGCTCATAGTAAGTGATCCCTTATGTATACTGTTACCATTATTAGTATCCATATTTCTCTTCAGTTGCAGTAGAAATGGATGGAACCAATGGCAGCACTCAGGGAAATTTCATTCTTTTGGGGTTTTCTGACCGCCCTCATCTGGAGAGAATCCTCTTTGTGGTCATCTTGATTGCATATCTCCTGACACTTGTGGGCAACACCATCATCATCCTGGTGTCCCGGCTGGACTTCCACCTCCACACTCCCATGTACTTCTTCCTCACCCACCTCTCCTTCCTGGACCTCAGTTTTACCACAAGCTCCATCCCCCAGCTGCTGTATAACCTGAGTGGAGGTGACAAGACCATCAGCTACACAGGCTGTGCTATCCAGCTCTTCCTATTCCTGGGTCTGGGTGGTGTGGAGTGTCTGCTCCTGGCCGTCATGGCATATAACCGCTTTGTTGCAGTCTGCAAGCCCCTTCACTACATGGTGATCATGAATCCATGCCTCTGCATGGCCTTGGTGTCGGTGGCCTGGGGCTGTGGGATGGCCAACTCCTTGGCCATGTCCCCAGTCACCCTGCTCTTACCACGCTGTGGGAACCACCATGTGGACCACTTCCTGTGTGAGATGCCTGCCCTAATCAGGATGGCCTGTGTCAACACAGCTGCCATTGAGGGCACTGTCTTTGTCCTGGCAGTGGGCATTGTGCTGTCACCCCTGGTATTTATCCTGGCCTCCTATGGCTACATCATGAGGGCAGTGTTACAAATTCAGTCAGTGTCAGGGAGGCAAAAGGCCTTCAACACAAGTGGCTCCCATCTCACAGTGGTCTCACTTTTCTACGGAAACATCATCTACATGTACATGCAACCTGGGAACAGTTCTTCACAAGACCAGGGCAAGTTCCTCACCCTCTTCTACAACATCATCACCCCCCTGCTGAACCCCCTGATCTACACCCTCAGAAACAAAGAGGTGAAGGGGGCACTGAGGAGGCTGCTGCTGGGTGACAGAGAGGTAGGAAAGAAGTAAGGGCAAAGGGGAGAGACGGGCATCACCAAGCTGATTGTCATTTCAGTTAGGGACCAGTGATGGCATCTGGAGCTGTTGGGCCAAATCTTGGCTTGACCTGAGCTTCCAAACCTATGTCTTTACCCAGACTACCATAAGACTGTTCCAGTTACAACATTAAGTGTTCTGATGAATGAACTGCACAACACACATCATCCGAAACTCCTTTATATGATCTGTAAAGCAGGACCAAAGGACAAAGCAAGATAAGTGTGTGGTTATAAAGATAAGTTCCCATATCCTATACCAGAGTGCCAAAGAGGAAACTGCGTTTCTCCAACAGACTTTGTTTCCATACTTGTTTTGATTAATCAACAACTTTCTTAGGATTTTAGACAGAATGATCACAATCAACCACTTCTCTTGGCTGACAGCCATTAAACAGGGGAAGTCAGCATGGCTGGTTGTTTTCTATTATTTCCTAAATTCCCGTCAAAAGTCTTTAAAAATTGTGTTGTTTCTTTTACCTTTGTTCCCAACATTTAGCATTTTCCATAAAGTCTGGTGAAGATTCTGATAAACGAAGAAGTTAACCTATAGCAATGATGTATGTGTAATTTAAATGTTAAAGCATCATTATTTCTCAGGTATGTTTTTATCTTTTTATTATTTTTTTTTAAAGATTTTATTTTTTCCTTTTTCTCCCCAAAGCCCCCCCCGGTACATAGTTGTGTATTCTTCGTTGTGGGTTGCTCTAGTTGTGGCATGTGGGACGCTGCCTCAGCGTGGTCTGACGAGCAGTGCCATGTCCGCGCCCAGGATTCGAACCGACGAAACACTGGGCCGCCTGCAGCGGAGCGCGCGAACTCAACCACTCGGCCACGGGGCCAGCACCTCAGGTATGTTTTTATTAATGAGAAGGACCTGGTGTTTATTAAGTTCCTGCTCTGAGTCAAGTGCTCACAATTCGTCTAATCGTCTCTGCGTTTTGTGGGAGGTCAGCATGACGCTCACTGTCCCTGTTTTACCCATGTGATACTTGAAGCTTGGAGGTTAAATCATTCACTCAAATAGAACTGAATCTGAGATTTACTCCAAGTTCTGTGACTGTCATTTCCTGCTGTTTCTGTTGCTACATGAATTTCTAAAGAGCAAAAATCCAAAAGTGTATAACAAGTAGTGTCCAAGACCTTTTAGAGCTAAAGAGCATGACTGGGCTTCTGTTCCTTACACAATACAGTCCGGAGTGTATGGGGGGAAATGTTTCCCTGGAACCTCTTAGGGTTCCTGTATGGATTTGAAATTTTAGCTGACAAAGATAGATTAACAGAGAAAAGCATACAGATTTATTTAATATAAATTTTATGTGACACAGGAGCCTTAAAGGTCCAAAGAAGTGATTTTTATGATGGATTTGATGAAGAGTTAACAGAGGTGGAGAAATATGGTATGACAAAGGAGGTAGGAGCTAAATGTAACGAATTGGAGAATTGTAGCAAGGGCTGTTTGTTCAGGTTCCTCTCCACATACCTCCATCTTGAAAATAACTGTAGTCCTTCCCTCTAGGTGTGGGGGGCACCTTTCACATGAAGGTCGTATGACCTGCTTTAAGGGAAGGTCAGAAAGTCCTTCTTGTACCTGCTGTTTTACAAATTCCTTTGGGTCAAAATAGTCAATATGCCAAAGTGCCATATTTTGAGGTAGCTCATCATGAACCCTGCCAAGGATTTCTCTCCCTTAATGTAAAAGTGAATTACCTGGGATAATTGTTAATTGCAGATTCTTATTCAGTAGCTATTGGGAGGATCCAGAGATTCTGCCTTTCTGCACACTTCCCAGGTGATACCCTCACTCACCCACTGCTGGCCCTCAGACCCTATTTTAAGAATGTAGGAAATAGGTCACCCACAACTCTCATTGCATGCATACAGAGGACAGGAATAAGCTGAAATTGGATTCATAGGCTAAACGAAATGGGGAGGGAATAATGAGAAGAGCTAGGCTGAAGGGGCTCCTCATGTGTCTGCCATCACTTCAATTCTCTGTCCTCAGTTTCAGAGCCTCTTTTCCTGGGCGGACTGTATTCCCACCCTTTCCTTTCTAACCTCCTCACTCCTTCACCTCACCTCACCTTCAGGGTCACCATCCCCAGTGGGATCATTTAAGCATAAGCAAAACCAAGTCTACTGGAAGGGGAATTCCTGTGCTTCAAGGGGACCCTGGTCTGAATACTCAAAACTGCCGTTTTTAAGAAACAGTGATGTAGATGGGCTGATGCTGAATAAGAGAATGAGAGTTATCTGCCTGACAGTCCCAAGATTTATAGAACTCCATAATACCACCTTGGTACCAAACCAACTAAGAGGGAGATATAATAAAGAATTGGGGTGGGGCTCCCAGGACTTATCCATACTTATCTTCTTCTTGGGAAGAACTTACTAGTCATCCTGTGTGAATCAGCAGAGCAGCCCCGTGGGCTCTGAGGTCACAGTTTTCCAGCATTCCTGTCTCTGGAAAAATGTCCTGGAGAGAACAAAGAAGGTTTCCATAACTCGAGTGAATACCAGGAGTTAGTGTGCACAGTGGTGAGGGATTTTTGTTGTGTTTAGTCTGCTAAAGAACAAAATTCAAGAGAATAAGCTTTAAAGACCTTATTGGCTTTATTCGGTAATTCATGAATCATGCACCATCCAATCTAGCAGATTGAAAGAAGCTCTGAGGTGATGTACAAAATGATATAGTTTCATACACAGAAGGAAGAAGGAAGAAGGAAGTCATACTAAGAAAAGGCAGATTGGTTGTTGCAAGGTCGATTTCCTTACAAGGGTTGGCAGGGGTTTCTCAGGCAGATTACCTAACTGGTGCTGATCAGGTGATTCCTGATCGTCTTGTGTAAGATTCCACTTCTGGGAAAGCTGAAACTGTGAGTAGGTTGTCTCATTTTGGTGACATGGGACTTAGTATAGTTGACTCCATTGAGTCCTGTTGTTTTGTTTTAAATACCTCTGATCATCTTATGATGTGGGGTCACCAGTAAAGGTAGTTGCTGTGGAATTGTGTAAGAGACTCAACTCAATGGGTCTAAGCCAGAGAAAAGTTGATTTTACCTGAGTCCTATGTTCCCAGAAAACAGCAACAGGTGAGAAATCTCCACCACCCTTTTGTGCCCCAGGAAAGGGCTGACTTTGAAGAATAGCTCTTCCCCAGATCACTCAGATAAGTCCCCTCTCTCCTGTTCCTCAGACTCATATATCTCTTGTTTAGCTGCTCTGTAAATCCCCAGGCTCATTCCTTTTCTAGAATATATTCCTCTTGTTGAAGTAAACTTCTACACCCAAGATGGAGCCACTCCTGCCCAGGGTGCCATATCAGCAAACCCTGTAAATGCTCTACTCAACCAGGAGCAGTACATCCAGTCCGCCAATCCCCAAACGCTAAGCCAACTCTGGGGTGTATACTGATTTTATTGTTCCCAGATGTTTCTACATAAGGTCAGATATGCAACCTCAGCCAAGCGTGCCCTGCTTCTGCAGTGCTGCTTCTGATGCTTTATGAAATTTGCTGTTGCCCAAACAACCCTAGGAAGAGCACTTCTCTGCTTGTGAGGCACTGGACTCCCCCAATCTATGGATTGTTTTCCCTTTAAAAAAAGGCATCAAACTCATTGCTAAAACATTTTATTTTTGTCACTTGACACTCATTAAGGAATGTTCTTTCTATTGCAATAGCCTGGATAAAGTCATCTCCTTAATTTCCAGTGCATTTGGCTTCACAGTAATTTTTTTCTACATAATGTTAAAACATTAAGAATAGAAATTGTGCAAAACTGCGAGGCAGAACAGAATAGAATAGAATTGCCCTCTCCGTTAGGTGAATGACTTTCTTTTCCAATCATTGCTTGATAACTACTGCTTTTTCTTCCTCCCTTAATGCTCTGTGTGTTCCTCTACCTTGAATAGACGCAACATTTTATTTATTGTCTTATCTTTCCTTTCTCTTCTTCTTATCAATCACTCCTTATACTGCTCTAGTCAAGTTTTTTATTTTTCAATTTTTACTACAGCTATGGATTCTTGTTCTACAAACGCCACTTCTATCATGCATATTATTAGCAGGTAATTTTCAGAAAAAGGTAAAAATATGACTCATACAATATAAAAGCAGACTCATGTTCAAGGATTTATTTTACCCATAGGTTCTGAGGCAATTAGATAGATGCTATAGCCAGCTTAATGGAAAAGTCAAACCAGTGCAAGTTTACTGTGTAGAGAAATATTTAGCTGAATTGCAAATGAAGCAAAACCAGTTCTCCACTGGGAGGAGGAACATCAATTAACTGTCTATTAAACATGGCATAAATTTCAAATCTATCAGTAGCTTATAACTAAAGGGAATCTTGTCAAGATGGTAGTGTAGGCAGACTCTGAACTCACCTCCTCCCACAAATACAGCCAGGTTACAGTTATTCTTGGAAAAATTACCCTGGAGAAAAAAAGTGAAAACTAGATAAAAAGAACCCCCACAACAAGGGACATTCCTGACTGAGGTGGAAGAGGCAGAAATTCCTTCTGGAGAGAAAAAAGCCATCTTCACAAGCCACAGACCTTCACAGTCGGCCAGGCAGGAGCAACCCTAAGGTATGCAGCCCTCCCTGGAGAAGTGGAGATCTTATCAGGGGTATGTTATCACTATAAGCATCCTTCAGACTCAGCACAACTGAGACGAATATCCTACTATCTGGCTTCACTGGCTATTAACTGCAACAGGGGAATACCCCAGGAAAAACTATTGGATGAAAGCCGAAAAAATCTGCCTCTTAAAGGGCCCATGCTCAAATTCAGCAGTCTTAGAGAGCAACCTAAAATCACCAAAATAACAGCTGCACAGACCTTTGGTGAAAATAGCCTCACCTGGTAGGCTCTGGGTGCATCTCGGTGAGAGGTGAGACCTCTCCAGAGACTGAGACTTTAGTGGCAGCCATGTTTGTGACCTAGTACAGGCGTGCTGACTCAAATGCTGGC